AGTATAGGGGTAATAGGGGCCTTAATCATTTAATAATTGGAATAGGGTTTTGGGGCCCATTATACTGAAATTTTAATACGGAACCGCCACAATTGCATTTTAATCTGTCACTCAGTTCTCGTGAAGTACAGACTGGTGAAGGAATTGGTTTAGCTGTCCCCGTGCACATCCGAACAGGTGGCCTGCAACAACACAGGAAACCCTCGGCGCAGAAACCGTCATCCGAAGCCTGCAAAAGGACAAAACACCCAGTCGCGCCGGCAAAGAAGCTGATCACCTCTCCCGATAACAGTATCCAAAACAGTTGGAACCCCAGTCACCGACAGTTGAAGCCCTTGAGGGGGACAAAGCTGCAAGGGAAGCCCCGAAAAGCATCCCACACCTAACTGACTCATCACCTCACAACATGGCTTTCTATAACCCGAATGAAACTCCAATGTTTAGAAGCAGGGGCACTCTGCAGAAGATCGCAAACCCTCACAAACTGTGCTTCACCTCAGCTGGAGATCGGATTCCCTGCCTTCGCCCTCTTCTCTGCCACCTTCGGCTCACGGCTGCCGCAGAAGAGCCGGGGGCCCTGTCCAGGCGGAGCTGAAGCACTTAGAGGATCATGGGACTTAGTAACTATACGGTTGTAAATAAGGTACGTATAGTTATAATTACTTATAAGCCCAACTAAGGTACTTATAACCTTGCTAACTAAGTCCCATGATCCTCCAAGCATGAGAGCATGAGCCCTTCTGAGCCTCACGTCCTTTTGCCTTCGGAACCCTGTCCTGTTGGGCTTCCGCAACCTTTCAGGGTGGGGGGGGGGGGGGGGTCTTCTTTGGTTTAACGCATATTATAACGAGGAGCTTGCAACGTAATTAACCCAAACAAGGAACCACAATGCAGTCCATAGGTAGGGCTCCGGGTGTAGGTGCTAGGGTTTACGGGTTTAGGGTTTAGGGTTCGGAAGTTAGGAAGCCTGCTTCCGAACTGCGAGTTTCCAGATACGCAGCCAACTCCACTTTCAACAGATCTAACTTGTAATCGATGAAGCTTCTGAGTCCGGCTCAATCGCAAAGACCTGAAGGACCCTAGTTCTTCATGCACTTGCAAACTGCTCTGCGTCCTTGCCTCTACCAGCGTCTTGTGGCTGATACGCATCAAAATTCCGCTGAATCGGTTGACCCAGCTCTTTCTCATAAAGTCAAGCCGCTCAAGCTGCAGCCAAGAAGGGTAATGCCAAACTAGGCCCCGCCCCTCTGCTCGACTCGGGCAGTCTGGCTGTGAATGCACTCCGTCTGGGCCGGGCAGGCTGTGGATGGCGGCAACTCCACGACCAAAATCTTCTCAGCGTTGGCCGGAACTGCCACTGCCTTGCCGTTCACGTTGCAGACGGACCAAAATTTGTCGACACTGCTTGCATCAATACCTGTGGGGAGGTCGATGGTCGAAGCCTGTCCAGTTGCAGGGTCCACCACCAAAATCTTCTCAGCATTCGAAGGCACAGCCACTGCCTTGCCATTCACACTGCAGACGGACAGGTATTTCCCCTGTCTGCTTGCATCAATACCTGCAGGAAGGTCAATGCCCCAAGAGTGGCCAGTTGCAGGGTCCACCACCAAAATCTTCTCAGCATTGGCCGGAACTGCCACTGCCTTGCCGTTAACATTGCAAACGAACCAAAATTTGTCGACCCTGCTTGCATCAATGCCTGCAGGGAGGTCGATCGCCGAAGCCTGGCCAGTTGCAGGGTCCACCACCAAAATATTCTCCGCATCATAGGGCGCTGCCACTGCCTTGCCGTTCACATTGCAGACCGAGGCAAATTTCATATCCCTGTTGGCATCAATGCCTGCAGGAAGGTCGATGGACGAAGCTTGGCCACTTGCAGGGTCCACCTCCAACAGCTTCGCAGCATTCGCCGGAACAGCCAGAGCCTTGCCATGCATGCTGCAGACACAAGCAAATTGTCCGATCTTGCAAGCATCAATGCCTGCGGGGAGGTCGATGCCCGAAGCCTGGCCAGTTGCAGGATCGACTGCCAAAAATTTCTCTGCACATAGCGGCACTGCCACTGCGATGCCGTTCACGTCGCACACGGACAGATACTTCCCCTCCCTGCTTGCATCAACACCTGCAGGGAGGTCAATGGCCGAAGACTCTCCAGTTGCAGGGTCCACCACCAAAATCTTCGCGGCATCACACTCCACCGCCTCTGCTTTGCCACTCGTGTTGCACACAACCGCAGATTTGCCAACAGTGCCCGCGTCATCATTCCACGGCACTGCCACTGCCTTGCCGTTCACGTTGCTTGCAGACCAAAATTTTGCGGACCTGCTTGTGTCAATGCCTGTGGGGAGGTCGATGGCCGAAGCATGGCCAGTTGCAGGATCTACCATCAAAGCCTTCTCGGCATCATACGGCACGGCGACGGCCTTGCCATTCACGTTGCAGACAGAACCAAATTTCTGAAATCCGCCAACATCAATTCCCGCGGGGAGGTCGATGACCGTAGCTGTGCCTGCTGGCTGAATCTGCTTCTCCATGGCGCCCCCTGAATGGTTTCCCAGATCCACTAGAGACACGGTCTTGGAGCCCAGATTCTTCTTATGGATCTTTCAAGTTTTGAAAAGGGGATTCATGGACGGTCCGGCTACTGCAGGTGCTGCCCCACAAAGTCAAAGCCCCACCGAAACGCGTTCTCAGGATGTACCAGCAGCCTCAGAAGCTGTCAGGGAAACCATCGAAAGAGAAGGCGCCAAACTACTCGACGCGACAATCTCACACCTGAACGCTCCAGACCTCACATACGCTCGAAATGCCCGCTCAAATTTCATGCAGTACACAACTGCAAGATCACAGCAGAAACGCCGCTCTTGCGAAAAATCTCAAGCCAAAAATCCCCCACCTTCTCCGCGAGCGAGTCGGCAGCGGGAGAGCCAAAAGCCCTGGCAGAGGGCACTTAGGGGGTCGGGAGGCTTAGTACCCTAAAAGGGATCCTAATTGGGGTTATGATTCTTACCCAAAGGGTCCAAAGTACCCATATAGTAGAATGTAGGGTTTCCTTATCAGGAGATACTATTATGATTTAGGTAAGTATTCCCCATAACAATACCTAGGACCCTTTGGGTTCTCAGTCTTTAACAGAACTACTTACTAAGTCCCCCCGACCCTCCGAGCAGAGGGCAGAGGAGCCGGGAGACGAGTTGGGCCCGAAATGCAGCTCCCAGCAAGGGCTGGGATGGTTCGATTCGGGGGGTGTCCTTTGGGTTTAGGGTTTAGGATTTAGGGTTCAGGATTTAGGGTTTAGGATTTAGGGTTTATAGGGTTCAGGATTTAGGGTTTAGGATTTAGGGTTTAGGATTTAGGATTTAGGGCTTAGCGTTTAGGGTTTAGGGTTGTCAGTCAGGATCCACAGTGATCCAATCTGCTGTCGTGCGCTCCCTCCCAAAAAGGGTGGAGGATTTTTTGGGCCGAGGTTTAGTTGGATTCAGGGGGTACTCTACCCTAAGACTCCATGTGCCCATATAGTGGGTACTTAGGCCTTAAAGGGATCCCTAGATAAGTACTTGAAAGGCCTAAGTACCTACCATATGGGTACATGGAGCCTTTGGGCTACTTATCAACTTAGGAACCACAGTACGTAAAGGCTCATGGGACTTAGTAAGTAAGGTTATAAGTCGGATAGAATTAGGATAACCCCACTTAGGGGACTTATAACCCCAGTTATAACCTACTTACTAAGCCCCATGATCCTCTAAGTAGGGTCCCTTCCGCTCTGAAACTCCCACATCCCGGGAGGCGCACGCTGAACTCGAGACCCGGGGGTGTGCGCTTGAGGGCTTACTGCCTCAACATGCTAAAGCCTACACCAGACACCCCTTCCCGAAACCCGAAACCCCAAATCCTAGATAAGTCTACGGTCAGTTTACGCTTGAATGCTAGGGTTTAGGGCAGTTTAGGGTTTAGGGGTCACGGTATAGGGTTCAGGGTTTACGGGTTTCAGGGTGTTAGGGTTTAGGCTAGGATTCAGGTTTTGGGGTTTAGGGCGTCGTGCAACCATCTCGAAGTCCAAACGTTTGCAGCTCCTCAGTCCCTGGGAGTCCCAGCCGGCTCTTCGACGCTTTATTTAGGGTTTAGGGTTGAGGGTTTAAGGTTTCAAAAATCCGAAGCTGCACGCGAGCCCTAGATCCTTTATAGAAGAAGCAACAATTTTGGAAACTCAATAGCCTCAGTCCTCAAGAGCAATGTGTAGGGTATTTGTCCTTGATCCGGCTTAAAACTTTCTGGGGCTCACTATAATCCCTTGCCCTAGTCCGCTAAACCCTTCAACCGCATAAACCCCGTAAACCCTGAAAACCCATTTAGGTCTTAGGCCGCGCACTGGCCCGGCCACGTGCCAGCCGAAGTCATGCATCAGAGTTTCAACCATCCAACAGAGCCTGAACCTTTCGTATGCCGCAATATACTGTGTATGTATATATATATATATATATATATATATATATATATATATATATATATATATGTGTGTGTGTATATATATATATATATATATATATATATATATATATATATATATATATATTCACTGTATATTGTAGCACACTACAGCTTAGTATGCTAAAGTATAGTATCACCTAACATAGCTCTCGTATGTTGTTGTTTGAGTGCATGTTTGGTTTAGTAATGTTATAGTGAAATAGTGCATGTTTGGTTTAGTATACTCTTGAATATGTGCTAGTATGTGATCATCCCAGCCACTCGTTCCCACCCTCGAAACCCACGAAAGAGTCACGACAATGTTCCCTCAATTGCCACAGGTACTGTCAGACATGTCAGACTGCATAAACATTCGACATCCATAAGTAGGATCACAAATGTTCGACTAGCTGCAAACTTGAGGCACGTGGGTGGGGAGCTCGCTCGCGTTTGCCAAAGAAACTGGAACCTAAGACGCCCGGAATCCTTTCGAGACACATCGATGCGCAGCCGCGATCTCAAGTCAAATCCTAGGATCCGCTCCTGCGATTAGGCACGTTCCGAGCGACTCGGGCAGTCTGGCTGTGAACGTGGCACTCGGGACGGCTGTCATCGAAGGCATCGAAGAGCCGATTCGCGTAGGCTAGCATGGTGTGGTCACTCAGACTCGTCGGTGTAAGCAGGAACTCGTTCCAGCGAGCGGCCTGTCTGTCTGAGCTCAGCACCTTCAGCGCTGCAAAGTGCTGATACCGACTCGCAAAATCCTCCAAGAGGTGGAAATCCGGTCGGTTTACTACCTGCTTGGCGGCTGCGGCCACAAACTGCGAGGCCACAAACCCCGTGACGCTTCCTAGCTCGTCGACCAGTCCATTCTGCACGCTTTGGGCCGCCACTTCCACAAACGGCCGGAGATCCACGGCGCTCCAGGCGCGTGGGCAAGGGTCGTTCTCATTGATGTAGTTCACAGCTCGCTGCTGCGCAAATTTCTTGAATTCCTGTGCCTGCTGGGAGCCACCACCGAAGACCATCGGAGACCCAAACGTGACGCACCGCACTTCCAGATCAGACAGAAAGGACATGACATCCTGTGAAGTTTGCGAAGTGCTGTCCATCTTCTTCCAGAGTAGGTAGAGTAGCCCTTCTGCGTACATTCCACCCAAGGAGTGGCCTGCCAAGATGACCCTACCGACCCCGTTCCCACTCGCCTCCTCCAGATGCTTCAGCAAGCCTTGTTCAAGCCAGAAGCTTGCCGCGTGAAGTGTGCCTGCTGCTCCGCCGTGGACGAAGAAGTCGGGATCCTGGGTCATGGCATGATTCAGCTCCAGATTCCAGTTTAAGAAGTCCAAAATGTACGAGGTGCCCTTGAAGACGACATACATCACTTTGCCAGTGGGTAAGTCGGCAGTGACTCTTGCGATCTTGACGGACGAGCCAAACTCGCCAGGCTGAATCACTCGATGGACTTGCATGGAAGCATGATCGAGCTGCGGGGGTTCTGGCTCGTCAGTGTACACCCAGTAGCTCAATGCGGCTGCAACAAGCTCTGCGAACACGGGCGTCTGCTGGACAGTGCTTTGCTGCAGACTGAGGTTCAGCTGGGAGGCTTTGGAGGGCGGCAGCTCCACGACCAAAGCTTTCTCAGCACTAAACGGCACTGCCACTGCCTTGCCGTTCACGTTGCAGACGGACACATATTTATACTCCCTGCTTGCATCAATGCCTGCGGGGAGGTCGATGGCCGAAGCCTGGCCAGTCGCAGGGTCAACCACCAAAATGGTTGCAGCACCAACAGGCACAGCAACTGCCATGCCGCTCACAGTGCAGACGGACCAGAATTTGTCGACCCGGCTTGCATCAATGCCTTCGGGGAGGTCGATGGCCAAAGCAGGTCCCGTTGCAGGGTCCACCACCAAAATCTTCTCAGCATTGGCAGGCACAGCCACAGCCTTGCCATTCACATTGCAGACGGACAGGTATTTTCCTTGTCTGCTTGCATCAATACCTGCAGGAAGGTCGATGGCCGAAGCGTGGCCAGTTGCAGGGTCCACCACCAAAATCTTCTCAGCATGATGCGGCATCATCACTGCTTTGACGTTCATGTTGAAGACAGACACAAATTTCCCCGTCCTGCTTGGATCGATGCCTGTCGGAAGGTCGATGGCCGAAGCCTGGCCAGTTGCAGGGTCCACTACCAAAATCTTCTCCGCATCATAGGGCGCTGCCACTGCTTTGCCGCTCATGTTGAAAACCGATACAAACTTGCCGGGTTTGCTTACATCGATGCCTGTCGGGAGATCGATGGCCGAGGCCTGGCCAGTTGCAGGGTCGACCACCAGAATCTTCTCGGCATCATACGGCACCGCCACTGCTTTGCCGTCGATGCTGAAAACGGCCACAAACTTGCCCTTCCTACTTGCATCGATTCCTGCGGGGAGGTCGATGGCAGAAGCCTGGCCAGTTGCCGCGTCCACCACCAGAATCTTCTCAGCATCATATGGCGGCGCCACTGCTTTGCCGTTTACATTGCAGACGGCCCGAAATTTCCCCGCCCTGCCTGCCTCAATGCCTTCAGGGAGGTCGATGGCAGAAGCCTGGCCAGTTGCAGGGTCGACCACCAGCATCTTCTCAGCATGAGCAGGCACTGCCACTGCCTTGCCGTTAACGTTGCAGACGGAGACAAATTTCTCCCTCCTGCCTGCATCGATGCCTGAAGGAAGGTCGATGGCCGAAGCCTGGCCAGTTGCAGGGTCCACCACCGAAATCTTCTCAGCATTCCGCGGCACTGCGACTGCTTTGCCAATCACGTTGCAGACGGACCAATATTCTCCCTGCCTGCTTGCCGCAATGTAGGGGCCTTAATGATTAGAATGTTACGTCTACTCTAATTATATTTGTAAGGAACCCCAAGAATAGTACAGGTAATTATTCAGGCCCCTATAGTATTCTCCCTGCCTGCTTGCTGTATCGACTGCAGGCAGGTCGATGGCCGTAGCTCTGCCGGCTAATCTGGGTGATTCCCAGATTGCCTTGCCTTGGGGTTTAGGGTTTGGGGGTTTAGGGTTTAGGGGTTTAGGGGTTTAGGGTTTAGGGGTTTGGGGGTTTAGGGTTTAGGGGTTTAGGGTGTAGGGCTAGTCTGGATGATTCTCAGATTGCCTTGCCTGAGATCTACGTGTAAATTGGATTGCGACAACCAGGGATCTATTCAAACAATACAGTAAAATCTTCTGACTATAATAACTTACATGAATTAAACTCTGTAATTACAGGAATCTAGTTCAAGCAATAGAGTTTGCTTATTTTGGTAACTTACATCAAACTGCTTCGCAATGAACCAAGATGCGCAGGCTCTCCGCGTTAAACCTCGGGACCTTCTTCAGCTCCAAAGTCGCGCGCTTCGGCGGGGAGGAGGTTTCAAATCTCCGCCTTTGAGCTCGCTGAGGCCGCGAAAGTGTCGTCTTTGCACTTTGCGCGAAGCGCGTATCGAAGAGCAAAGAAGTTTTCTCCAAAAGTCTCCACCCACTCATCCCTGCACGCATGGCTCCCAGGCATCGTTGGAAGATCTGCAATGCTTCTATACCCACTTCAAGGATGCTACTGGTACCTTGCACGACGATTCCATGCGACCTGGCACTACGATTGACCAATCCAATCTGCACTGGTTTCTCTCACAAACCCACTATCGCGCTCGATTCACATCAGAGGATGGACGGTCTCCTACTTGTCGGGTATCATGGGGATTACATAGGGACTATACTTCCCAAAAAAGGTTGAAGGTTACCTACTCTACTACTAGGGTCTACTTGGAAAGGGTTTGTTGAAGCTTCGTCGATGGTTGGGCCCGTTAGTTGAGTCCCATCAGTCCAGGTCTCTGTGACTGCCACAGCATAAGAGCTGAATTCATGATCGAGAGACGGCTGCCGACGTGTGTCCAGTCAATAGCATGCGGATCAGGCCCCAAACTCCTTTGTCACAGAATGCAACCCAACTTCCCTGCAACAAGAACTCTGTCGATACCGTGGATAGCACTGAATCTTTGCCTTCTTGGTGCTGAAACAGGCGTCGGCAGAAGAAGAAGAAACGGTATCCCCTTCAAGTCCTTCGATGTCCTTACTACCATTACCGAATAAGATACCCTGAAGCCAACCAGCATCCGAATCTGCAGAGAGGCAGATCAACAGCTGCTACTGTGAACATGGCCGAAGTGTTCAGACCACCACAAGCCTGAACCGCGCACACGCGCATGTCCGGAAGCAAAGAAAAACACAGCCGGGAGTTAGGCTTCAGAACAAGGCAACGAATTTCGATCTGGCTTCGCGTGGCTCTATCACTGTTGAAAGGTCCCTGAAAACCAAACACAAAGCCTAGACGTTTCATCCACAGAAGACGAAGACATACAAAAACAACAGAGCAAAGCGATCCCATTCTAAAACGAGTCCCTAGATCATTACCTGTATACCCTAAACCTTGAGTGTCTCTAGGCCACCTTAACCCTGAATAACCTACCTATTTAGGGCTCCTTATTATGATTTCCTTTGCTAAGTCCTTAAAACGGTAGGTCATCCAGGGTTCAGGCAATACTTACCTCAAACCCTTGTTCGAATTATATGCGGAGTCCCGTCCCAGTCCTTCGGGCTCTCACCGTCCCTCCACAGCCGCAGGTTGGCCTGAGCAAGCCGAAACGACAAGCCATCAGAGTTCTGAGGTTGATGATACAAAACCTGCATTACCTTAAGGATCCTAAGCTATGGGAATTCTGGTAGATTCCTATATTATGGGCAATGCAGGATTCATATCATCAACCCTAAACCCTAAACCCCTTATAGATCCCTTAAAGGAGCCCCTAAAAGGTGCCCTTATAGATCCCTTTAAAGGAACCCCCAGGATTTATTGTATTTTCCATAGCTCGGACCCCTCCTCTTGCGTGTGTTGCAGCTGGGGGCTCCTTCGGACCCTCTAAGACAAGGGCCTTAATAATTAGAATAGGGTTCCTTTACAGGGATCCTTTGAGGGGTCTACAGGGGATCTAGAGTAGAGCTATAATATAAGAATAGGGTTCCTTTACAGGGATCCTTTGAGGGGTCTACAGGGGATCTAGAGTAGAGCTATAATATAGGGGCCTTAATAATTAGAATAGGGTTTGGGGCCCCTTGTACGATAACTATAATGAGGAACCCCCAAAATGTATGGATAATTATTGAAGCTCCTACATTAAGGGTGTAGGTTGCAGGGTTTTGGATTGAGTCTGGACATCTCAACTGAAGCCTAAGACGGGTCAACAGGCCCCGGTGTCGGCACAGTCGCAAATCAAGAGCTCCTCTGGAATGACCGAAAAAAAGGCTGCTCAAAACCGCAGGGCCCTGAACCCTACGCAACAGATACGGCAGATCTCACGGCCAATAAACCTTCGCAAGCTGGGGCCGCGACTGCGATGCATGGCCAGTTGACTGCTCTTAATCGTGAGGGAGTTGCTTCATACGCATGCTTAGCAGTCATCTGCATCTGTGTATGACTCCGCGTCTGTGTGTCGCTATGCTTGCAGGTTGTTTCTGCAAGTATGTACATGCAGCTGTCCGTCTGTCGTTCTTCCTGCCTGCCTGCCTGTCTCTCTGTCTGCATGCATGAATGTATACATATACATATACATGTATCTCTCTATGTATATATATATATGTATGTAAATGCATATATATTATATATATATATATATATATATATATATATTATATATATATATATATATGTGTATGTTTACGTATTGTATATATGTGTGTATGTGTATATATGTACATAGTAGATTCAGTATGTGTGCATGTCTGCAAACGTGTGCAAGGAGCTCTGCAAAAATCGAGCCTCTGGGATCCAGGACCAGCGGTGCAACGGCAAAGATACGCTTGACTTCAAGGCAGAAGCCGCAGATGGATTTAGAAACATAGGGTTTACAGTTTAGCGGTTAGGCTTTTGGGGTTTAGGGTTGAAAGGTTTAGGGTTTGGGGTTTAGGTTAAGGATTAGGGGACGAAGGATGTAGGCTCGATAAGACCTTCCGACAGTCGGAGGCCGAAGCACGCAGTGAGGCTTGAAAGTGCAATTGCTCTTTTGCTCATGCAGTGGGCCTTGGGTCCAGGATCTGTGTTGGAAGCTGCCTCTCTACCAGCAGCACCGACAAGCTTCAAGACTTGTCGTCGCATTGGGGAGTGCCCGCCTCAGGGAACCGGGTCAATCCCAGAGCTAGGCACCAGCCGTGCGCACGGAGACATTCCGAAACTGCTTGACTCGGGCAGTCTGGCTATGAACGTAGCATTCTGGGCTGCCTGCACCGAAAACACTAAAGAGCCGAGACATGTAAGCAAGCATGGAGTGGTCACGAAGGCTGTCTGGGGTGTGCCAGAAGATTCTCCAGTGGGAGAACTGGCTCTGTGGGCTCAGAAGCCTCAACTCCGCGAAATGCTGATATCTCTTCGCAAAATCCTCCGAGAAATGGAAGTCAGGGCGGCTTAGTAATTGTCGTGCTGCTGCAGTCACGGTCTGTGAAGCAACCAACCCGTCGATGCTACGAAGCCCATCGACGAGTCCGTTCTCTGCACTCCGGGCCGCTAGTTCCACAAAGCGCCGGAGATTGACGGCGCCCCAGGCGCGGGGGCAGGGGTCGTTCTCGTTGATGTAGTTCACCGCTCGCTTCTGCGCAAATTGCTTGAATTCCTGTGCCTGCTGGGAGCCGCCGCCGAAGACCATCGGAGCGCCGAAGGTGACGCACTGAACATCGAAGTTACACAACAAGCAACCAAAATCCGTCGATCCCATCTTCTTCCAGAACAAGAAGAGGAGCACTGCAGCATACATTCCTCCTGAGGAGTGGCCGGTGAAGACAATCCTCCGCGTCCGGTTCTTCTTTGCCTCCTTCAGCCGCTCCAGCAAGTTGTGCTCTAGCCAGAAGAGCGCATCCTGTACGGCTCTTGCTGCTCCAGCATGGATGAAGAAATCAGGATCCTGAGTCACTGTATGATCCAGCTCCACATTCCAATTCAGGAAGTCGAAGATATAGGAGTTGCTCTTCAAGACCATGTACAGCACGTTGCCAGTTGGCAATTCAGCTGTCACGGTTGCAAAGCTTAAGATTGAGCCACAGCCAGCCGGCTGGATCAGCCGGTGGGCGTGCATGGCCGCATAGTCGATCCGTGGTGGCTCTTGCTCGTCTGTATGCACCCAGTAGCTCAAAACAGCTGCCACGAGCTCGGCAAACATTGGCAAGCAGTGAATATTACTATGGTGGAGGGTGAGGTTGAGGCAGTCTGTCGATGCAGGCAAAGACATACCCAAAGTCTGTTCAACAAAGAACCTTCCGCTCATGCTGCCAATCGGCATGTTTACCGGGAGGTCGATGGCCGAGGCCTTGCCAGTTGCAGGATCCACCACCAAAATCCTCTCAGCATCAAGTGGCACCGCCACTGCCCTTCCATTCACGCTGCAAACAGACTCATACTTGCGGGGTCTGCTTGCATCAATGCCCGCAGGGAGGTTGAGGACGAAGGCCTGACCAATTGCAGGATCCACTAGCAACACTTTCTCGGCACCACTTGGCACCGCCACCGCCTTATCTTTCACAGCGCAGGCGCACAAAAACTTTCGACCCCTGCTAGCATCAATTCCCGTGGGGAGGTCGATGGCCGAAGCCTGGCCAGCCGCAGGGTCCACCACCAAAATCTTCTTTGCGTTCCATGGCACTGCCACGGCCCTGCCGTTCACCACGGAGATGGAGCAATACTTGTCGCATCTGCTTGCGTCAATCCCTGCAGGAAGGTCTATGGCGTGAGCCTGGCACGTTGCAGGATCCACCACCACGATCTTTTCGGTATCGAGTGGCACCGCCACTGCCCTCTCCATCAAACTGCAAACTGAGAAATACTTCCACTCAGTGCGTGCATCAACACCTGAGGGTAGATCGATGGCCCAAGTCTGACTAGCTACAGGGTCGACCACCAGGATCTTCTCAGCATTACACGGGGCCATGACGGCCTTCCCTTGCACTTCGCAGACGGACAGATACTTGCAGCATCTGCTTACATCAATGCCCGTGGGGAGCTCAATGGCCCAGACTTGGCCATCAGCAGGATCCACCACTAAAATCTTCTCGGCACCACTTGGTGCCGCCACCGCTCGGCCGTTCACGTTGCAGACGGCCCCAAACTTGCCAGGAATGCTTGCTTCAATTCCTGGAGGCAGATCGATGGATGTAGACTGGCCAGTGGAAGGATTCAGCACCAGGATCTTCTCAGCATCAAGAGGGACCGCCACAAGCACTTCGTTCACGAAGCAGACAGAAGAAAACTTGTAGGACCTGCTTGCATCAATCCCGACAGGGAGGTCGATAGTCAAGGTCTGACCCCTTGCAGGGTCCACTGCCAATACTTTCTCGGCCCGATTTGGCACTGCCACTGCCATTCCATGCACGTGGCAGACGGACACATATTTGCCGACGCTACCTACATGACAGCCCCCATGGAATTGCAGGGCTGCAGCATGGGGTGGTGGAGCTAGACT